ATAATATATAATACAATTATTATTTGTAACATATTTTAGTACTATGTAGGTCTACTGTACGTATTACTGTATTAACTACTATTATTTCATACTAATATTACTACTACATTTACTATTAGTAGTAGTAGTATGTGTAAGAAAAATAATATTGCACGTACTGCACGTTGTACTTTACAAATCTCAAAGTGCTACCACAGACAATAACTAGATCGGTCCAGCATGAAGGTAATATTTGCAGTGTGTGCATGTTTTATTTTATTAATTGGTTTATTTGTACAGGCCATCATTCATGGCCTTTGCGAGCTGCAGGGCTTGTCTTGGCAGGAGGCTGAAGAGATGTTCCTCCAGGGCCCCACTTATCACTCAAGGTATGTTTTCAATTTTTGTTTGTACAAAAACTGTTGGATTTTTGTGTTACACAACATTTCTGACAACAGCATTTATCTTTTCTTTTAGTGAAGTTGAGGAATTTGACAGAAGAATTGCTCGAGAAATGAAAAATCTCCCCAACAAGAATGTAAAGCATTTATTTTATTTGATGTTATTTAATATGTAATATATATACATTATTAACCCAATTATTTTTTTCATCATTTTTCTCTGCATTGTTTACAGCTCGATGACTTGTAGGACCTCATGAAAAAGAATACAAAAATAAAGTTTGGTGTGAGAAAATGACTCCGAGCACTGTAATTTATTGTATGTAAATATAGAGTTAATGTTCATCCCCTAACTCAATATTAAAGAATGTGATAAATCCTTAATAATTAAGAAAACAATAAATGACTATGAAAATATTTAAGTAACTGAACAATTTCTATTTACAAATACAATTAATAAAAATAAACCAGACTTAATGCATTAAATCATAACCTAGTATGTGTAATATTTTATATAATAATGCATTCAGTCATAGCGTAATATTTTATAGTAGAAAAATAGTGTAAATTATCAGCAATCAGCAATTGAATTCAGGTTAGGTGATCTTATCTAATCAGGTTAGATAATCTTCCAAACAGCACTGTCTGCTGTCGGAAAAAAACGATAGGTCTGAGCGTGCAGGTCTGAGTGTGCAGTTGGGTCTCCGGGCCTGCAGCTTCACCGTACTCGGTTAAACGGATCGCAGTTGATCCGTACGTACGGTCGGATGAGACCCTACCGGTCGGCACGCATTTGATTCGCAGATTAATCTGCCAATTTACACGTTCAAGCAATTTTAAACAACAAGAATAAGAAACGAAAGAGAGCTCAATTCGATACTCACACGTCGTTCTTGCACACAATCAAAGCGCGCACAAGCATAGAGACGTGTTTCAGACAATTAGCTTATGTCAAAAACGCTTCATGACATTGTCATTGTGCTTTAAATATTTTTTTCTTGCTTATCCGAAAAAAGTCGGCAAGAAAATTTTCTAAACGTAACAGGTCCGTGGTGTAAAAAAGGTTGGAGACCCCTGCTCTAACAGACCTCCATACTTAGAACTTCACACACAACATGCAAATTAGCATATTTTAATTAAGACCCTATTTATAATTAAGATAACTGCTGGTTTACACCTAAGTTATGAAAATAATAAATCCCTTGACTTATCAGAACAACTTCTGGAGTTTGTAATTGAATAATTACTCAATGTCATGTTCTAAAGGAAAAACATTGTAGTCAGAAATAAAAGGATTTCAGTAACACTCTGAAAAGGAATATTCATTTAGAATTTTCTCAGCCCCACTCCTGCCGAGTTAATGAAATAAGCAGAAAGATACACAAAAATACAAATGAAAAAAAAAAATGCTGAATTCTATGTGCTAAACAGATGTGGTATTTTCCCCTTTATCAGCATAACCAGGGTCCAATCCTAAACCAATTAAAGTCTGAAGAATCCAGATCTCTACATTTCCTTCCCAGCAAAGGTACAGACAATCATAACTTAAACTATTTCAGGGGACAATATCTTTATTGGCTATGCAATTAAACAATGTGCAATTCAGGAATATTTATTGTAAATGTCTATGTTGGTGGCAATATATCAAATAATAAATTGTAAACACAGTAGGCCAAATAGATTAAATAGACTATAACCATGTCAAATGAAAGACTATGAAGATAGTATTGCCTTGCATACAGCGTGAAAAGTGAACCAATCCAGGATCTGAATATGGACCTCACTAATTGGTGACCTCTGACCCAGACTGTTGATCGCCACTAAATATCAATAGATGCTAAGCTTAGCTTTGCTTGTCACAAAACTGACTGCATATGCACAGCATGGTGCACCACTAAATGTATTTATATCATTATTTTACATGAATACACAATTTAAATCAAATAAAACGTCTAAAACATGTGGCAGTTTTATTCTTGTGGTGTTTTGACAAATGCATCATTGTCAGATATGTTTGAGTCTCTAAACAGCACAAGATCTGAGAGAAACTTACTCTGGCACCAGCGTTGGGGAAGATACTTTAAAACGTCCAATCTACAAATTACTTAGAATTTAAAATAGCTACCCTTTAATTATTCAGTTTTCAAAAACTACATTAAAATATTTAATTGCTTCCCAACAAAAATGTCTCTGCACAAATATAATCTATAATGAGAAAAACAGGTGATGGTGGTGATTTATTATTTTGTCCTGATACAATCTGACAGGTGCTGGGCGATCTTACATCTAGAAAAGCACATGCCTTTTGAAAAAAACACACCATCTTTTATTTCCAATAATTGTCCCATTAACTTTGATAACCATGTACATAATATTTACATTGTAGGGGTTTGAAAACATGCTGAAAAACACTTTGCTTTGCTATGCTTAAGTGCTTTATTGTAACGTCTTTACCTGCTTTGTACAGAGTTGTTTAGTGTTGCCCTGAAAAATCTTCATCACTTGTAAGCGACATTGTAGCTTATATTCCACAAATGTTTTCAGTGGAATGTGAGCAAATAATATATATATAATTCATAATATAATATATATATACAAGCAAGAGGCATGATCCAGGGTATTTGCTCATGGGCTGCCAGCTTGATAACAGAACAGCTATTAAAAAAAAAACTTGGAAATTAGATATCAAATTAATTATTGACTGTTGATGCCCATTGTATAGTTAAAATGTGATTCTGCAAAACGAAGGTCACATTATGCAGAATTTTTACATTTTATTTTATTTTTTGTTTGTTAACAATTGCACCTCATTAACGTGACTTTTTCATATCATGGAACTACATTGTAAAAACACCATACAAATGACGAAATTATTATTTTAATTCTCAAAAGAGTAAAAGAGATCAGGTCTATTCCATAAAATGTATTTCATGAGATACAGAGCCACTTTTGAGAAAAAGCAGCATCCACAAACACTTTGATCAGCGTCACACGGACAGCAGGGGTCTCTGTCTGACCAGTATCTGCTCCCTCCTGCAGTGCTGCACTGCAGAGTCTCTCATTCCTATTCCTCCTTCAGCAACTCATTAATCACATTGATTGGACCTCATCAACTTAAACAGAGATCCTCAGCTGTTTATTTCAGCAGGTCGAGGGCTGAACACCCCACTAGGGATTGTGGTGAGGTGTGGGTCCTCACAGTCAGGTCTGTGCGGGTTTAAAAAAGCTCTCTATTTAGGTTGTTGTCCTCTGCAGTGATATGCAGTCATTGCAGATACCCACAGAAGGGCTGTAACGCACCCAAGCGATGGACTCTGAAGTGAACAAAGGTTCAAGAAAAGGTACAAGTATCATGTGACTTACCAAACAACAGCCATAAGTTTTATAAGAAAATATGTTAATATTAAAATATATATTAATATAAAAAGGTATCTTTGAAAATAAGG